CATTCAGTAGCTCAAAACCAGCTAAATAAGTTCAGCAGACTTGTCATGCAATAACAGAGTTCAATAGGTTCTTAATTAGATTCTTCCCATTCACAGAATATATATATATATGGCATAATGTTCAATATTTGCATAACATATAATCCATAGCATACTATAAACAACAGAAATGGGAAATCATAAAAATCGAATAATTAGAATATGAACAAGACATAATCGAAAAAGGGGGCAGAAACTTTACTTCCCTTTTACTGTCCCAAATACCATGTTCTTCTTCCTTTCTTGCTGGCCAAAATGCTTAGGCTCAAGAACAGCCTCCCACGCTTGCAAATTGCCCTCCAGAGAGAGTACAAGAACCGGTAAAGAACCCTCCACACTTGGCTTGGATCATCGACCGAAAGGTCTACCAAAGATAGCCAAGAACACCCCTAAAATTTGACCTAAACCCACAAGAACGAACCAGCACTTTGCCACTATTTTAGGCCTAAGTCTACATAGGTAAGGTTAACCAAGGTCAATTTTAGGATATAGCAAAGTAAGAAGAAGAATGGCTTCGACAGAGAACAGAGAGAACGAAGAGACAGAAAGAGTCTCAAAGAAGGAAGCCCACGTAAATATAGAGAGAGTCAGGCCAAGAAAAAGATATCCAATCCAAGATTAAATCTTAGCTATCCATATGATCCGACGGTCACAATAGAAGTAAACTAACAAAATCCGGGTGAAGCCAAAGCCACCAATATGTGAGTGACACCTAGGCAACTAATGGCCCAAGTAACAAGTCATATACCAAATGACACAAATAGCAACAGCCAATAAGAGTTAAGAGGACCACAATACTCACAATACAAAAATGGTTGAAAAAAATAATAAGAGAGCCCAAGTGATTAATATTATACTTAAAAAAAATCAATTAATTAATTCTTACAATTTTGACTCACAATCTCCTATTATTAATTCCATTTCCTTAAATTTCTTACACTTATTTGAATTTGGTTATCATTGTAAATAATCATAAATGATTTTTTTTTTTGATAACTGATTACGCCAAAAGTGTTACGTGGTGTTGTAGTATAGTTTTGGGGTGTCGTATCCACAGGGAGATGGAAAAGTAATTCAAGAGGTTCAATAACTTTGGGTTATCGTGAATTTGATGAAGCGAATTTGTTTATTGCATTCAAATGTAAATGTCACCGGAAATAATTATGAAATTTAAT